TTTCTGTTTTCAACTTCAGTCTGAGGAGAGCGCTTCTCGTTTTCACATTATTAACAGGCATTTCTAGTGGGTACTCGGAAGAATGTTATGGTGCTGAGTGTAGGTCTAATAAGTGTTGAATAGAAATACAACCGTAGGGGGACGAGAAAAAAGTATGGCACAGTTTTTACTGCTAAAGTGGTGCAAACCAACCGGTTTAAATTCCGGGTTGTTTTCGCTGATGGGGCAGTTCTTTGGTTTCTCTGTCACCTGCGCGGTTTGCTCGTTAGTCTCGTTTGTTCGTCTGTGTGCACGGGTCTATGGAGTAAGCTCCCGGGCGGGTGGTAAATGACAATCTGACGTTTAGGTGATTCGCACACAAGTTGACATGCACGCAAAGTCGAGTGGCTTTGGGGTGAGAGAAAACTCGCGTCTATTGACCGATGCCGTTTAGGGTCGGTTGTCACTGAGATGTAGTCCGCACGATAGAGCTAGGGTCCGATAGTGGGAAAGCCGATTTGCTGATCGTATTAGGGAATATGGCGCAAAATACCGTCAAGAGTTGTAGATTGCGATGGTATGGAGCTGACCAAGTGGTTGTTGAATAGAGCTGGTAATTCCAAGCCGAATGATTGGAATTTGGTTGATGTACGTTGAGATGTGTAAGGAAAATCCACTGCAGAGCGGAGCACAGAGTGATTTGGAAGGTTTTGCAGAGTTTTTTTGAGAACCGTCAGATATCCTTCAGCACTTGTTCCGATTTTGGAAAGAGGACGCAAAACGGGATTAAACGCGATCCGTTGAGAATGCACGTAGAAATCAAGCAAAGTGTCAGCACTTCGCTTTTACGTCTGCAGTCAGGCGCCCGCACACATTGCACACATTGTGTTCAATTTTACTCCCATCGATCGCATCTGTAGTCCGCAAGAAACGCTATCTCCGACACAGCCACTCTCCACGCCCTCTAACCATGCTCATGCGGATGTGGGGTCCAGCCCCACACTTTCCGCTACTAACTTCCACTAATGGTGTGAGCTCAGGTTTGGCGTCCGCTTACCAGCTTTTTACTCGGCCTACAAATTTGAGCACGGACGGTATTTCTCGCAATAGCTGGGCGGGGCCTATAAATCGGCCGTTGCCTTTTTCGCCGAACATCATTTTTACGTTCTCTATTGTGTATATCTCAGTATAGCACGGGTACGCTGACAGATATTTTGTTCAATCAACTTCCAAGCTCACTGAGGCTCTTTACTCCATTCAGCTTTGAACGTACACACAAGATACCTTGCACGATCCGCGATCCATTATCTTTGGACACAAAATTCTACGTCCTTTGAAACGCATTTTGAAGAAAAATTTTTATGAAACCTTTTCCGTTTTCGATGGATACAAATCCCGAAGCTTTAGTCAGCTTTTTGAAATCCTTGCTCGATCGATCAATGACTGTGAATCCTCAATTTTCTACCCATTGTAAACTTCACATTTTTACTGGTAACCCATTAGTAAATTTACAGTTGATAGTGTAAATGCTGAAAGTGCACCCTTTTGGGTACATAAAGCTTATACAGACTTGACGTGTGTCAACTGTTGATGCTACTATCGTTGCAAATGCAACGGAGGATTCCGTAATTTTTCCGTGTTTACTTACAGATTCGCATAAGCTATTACGTTCACCTTCATTTCCGCTAGATCCACGTGCCTCGTCTTTGTCTGGTATTTTGGAACTTTTCCCGAAGTGGGTGTCAAGAGCAGTGTTTAGTAACCTTCTAGATTCGGCTTATATCTTTCTTTTTTCCGCACACTTGGAGATCTTCTAAACATCGTTCTGCTCCTAAAGCCTAATTGAATAACCGCCAATGTTGCCAATTGTAGCTTTGGCCTATCTAACGTTTATACCAGTTTTGTTGACGTGATGCCACCGTCACTGTTTTAATGAAAGATCGGAAATTACCTGTATGATGGCAGACGATCAGATGCTTTACTGATTTCTGATCGGATATTCTCTGTCGACCTCTTGTACCAAACGCCCATGATCCTCTGCTGCGTGGTCCCAATCTCGAGTTGGCACAATTCGTATTCATTGAAGAAATGCTTTCCCCTCTTTGGCTTATAGGCCGGCCCGTAACCCTAAGGATCTTGAGTCTGCCTTGTAATCTGAGGGCGCTGGTTCGAGCCTGCGTAGGAAGCGCGCTACCCTCGCAGTATCCTTAGCCCACATGCGACTGTTGGTGGTTGCGCGACAGCGAAGCGTTGGTACTCCTTACCGGCGGACTGCGGATGTCCTTTTGCCGAGTATCACAATTGTTCAATACAAAATTTCATAGGTTTTGACCTCATTGACGATCCGGTAGCTAAATGCCGTGCCTACTGAGGGCCAATTTATTTCGCTGGACATTCAATCTTGTAGATGGATGCCTTTCTCGATTCCTATCACTTGGCCTTCCTGGATCGCACTCACACGAGCCGCCTCAGAGGTTTCGCTTCAAAACGAACTTATTTTCTTTTGGCTGCCAGACACCCTAGCTCTCTTTCGATTCGTACTGGGGCTTGCAGACTTATATATTGCATTACTTTTAAACTAGTCTATCCTTCTTTGACACTCAAAAGCTTGACCATAGAAATGAGTCGCGTCTATGGTGTATGATGCAGCGGCTGAGAGACCATCTCTTCGATTTTTGACAACACGTATCACCAAATGCAATGAGGCTGGATCTCAGTTTTCTTCTACCTTTAGCATTGGCTTACGATACGTTGGGTAATAGCGAGCGGCGCTTCCATGATTAGCTTGCTAGCCATTCAGTTCCATTTCACTAAATGGTATATATCCCAAGAGAGTCCTGTTCTATCTCGATTCCAAATGAATTGTAAAGTTGCGCGATTATCAATGCATTTCCTTCTCTTCATTTTCTTTCAACTATGCAATCGACGTTGTCGTATTTACTTCTTTTTCAGCGGGGGACTAGTAATCTGACTATGTCGGCCGGTGGCCAGGTGATCTGAGCGTCTGGTTTGAAGCGATAAGTTCACTGGTTCGAATGCGCATAGGGGCGGGCGTCCTCGCGGTACACTCAGCCCGCGCGCGACTGGTGATGGTCACGCGGCGGCGTAGCGCCGTTACGGCGTACAACTGACATAATATTATTATTATTATTATTATTATTATCGATTTTGCCTATTGACTACTTGCCACACCCAGACTACCTGTGCTGTGTAGCTCTGCCGGGTCATTTCGTTGGGAGGGGGCGACTGGCCGAATCCAGCACCCAAAGTGTCGAGTTAGTATATGGCCCTTTCTGAGGTTATAAAATTCACTGATCTTAGTTTCCAAATTGTTGACATCGATTTGCTCTGTAGCCCTGTGCTGTGTTGTGCGGATTACTGACCTCATCTTATGCAACCGCTTACCTACCGGTTTCCAATTAGCATCACCCGCACATCTCGGCACCGATGGATAAGTGTTTTTGTGGCCGGTCCGTCGGCTTTTGGAGACAGCGTTTCCGATTAGTCACCGGCCTGCTTAGTACATCTCAGTTGTCTGGCCCAATTTGGCCAAGTTCTCTACACGGCTTTTAACCGTCTGCTTCCTAGTGTTTGCTTTGCTGAACATGTGTCCAATTGGACGAACTCTCGGCATGATCAAAATGATGAAGACAATGTGATCGGGAGGCTAAATTTTACTTTTTCCCCCTCATTATGCTACAACTGCACTATACCATTTTCCATTGAAGTTGGACATTCGGGCAAAACATTTACGCCTGAGGGTCAACAGGGTTGCTCCTCCGGGGCAATCAAGTTGAGTCTTCGCTATGCGGAATAGAACCACTCACTGGCATGGTAGGGGTGTTTCACTGGCCAAGCGCCTTCAGCAAATAGGACCCCAGACGCCTGGCCAATGAAACAGCCCCTACCATGCCAGTGAGTGGTTCTATTCCGCATAGCGAAGACTCAACTTGATTGCCCCGGAGGAGCAACCCCGTTGACCCCCAGGCGTAAATGTTTTGCCCGAATGTCCAACTTCAATGGAAAATGGTATAGTGACACTGTCACCCAACCTGCGGCTTTAGTCTATGCACTGCCTCACAAATGAATGTTCATCTATCTGGTCGAGCCAATCACATGGGCGGAACCAAGGTGACACTGAATTCCCGGATGAACGGACGTGTTCCGAAGTGGGTTCAATACGTGACGATGCAGTAACCATGATTGCATCTAGCGTCGTGTTCGCATAGATCGCCGCCCATCCCTTCGATCGACATGTGCTTATTGAACTCAAGGCACCGAAATGTAATTAATACGATGTTTAATATCCCTCGCTAATTGCTGCTCTTTGTTTTCTCGACTCAGTAAACTGGTGCAGTGGGTTCTAACGCTACTTTCGGTCAACCTTAGACTACTCTGGACGTAGGGATAATGCTTCTGCATTTCACCGTTTATTTTGTATGTTTAGTTGCGCCCATAATGGGTGCAGCGTTGTATACAGGTACCAGATTTCATTTGGTTGTGCTTTCTAACTCTCTCGTTGTCTCATTTCATTCCTAGTTGTTCTGTTTCTTCGCCTCCCACTTTTATTATACTCGATGTCCATTCGGGCTTCACTACGTCAACAGTTTTTGTTCGCAATTTTATCCTTTTAAATCACTCCATTTGCCTACTGTTTCCCGAGTAATGCTCACGGTTGTCACAGTTATCCCTGCGTAACCACTTTCACTGTCCCTTGGGCAAACTGTTCGCCGAACCTGGCAATATTGCTACAAATGTTTCGTCACCAGTCGTAATGACATCAGCAGTACGAAACGGAGGGATGCGTTAGTATGTGTGAACTGTCTTACCGCGGGCGTGTATTTTATAGGTAATCGTCGCACCTATCTGCGCATCGCTCCGTTGCGCTACAGTTCAACGCATTGATAATGTGACATCAACTGGTGACGAACGTTTGCAGCAACATTGACAAGCTCAGAGAACAGTTTGTCTTATAAATGCAAAACCTGAGTTACCTACCTTTACTTTCATTGTCACCACCTAGCAAATTTGTGCGAGTACGTCTGAGGCATATCTTCCACGGCATCCTTCTCACACCAGAGGACAATTTCAGGAATCCGGTAACGTGGATGCTGAATCATTAGTGGCGGCACACGTTGATCCAAGGGAAAACCTATTGATGCCTACGTCTTCCGAACCGCCCACAACTCAATCAAATGGTGGTCTGAACTGGCTGGTCGGTGAGTGCCGTTCTATGCATGCTATATCTGTATGTGTATCTACTTCGGAGGCAGTCCACCCAATTGAACTGATAATGATGTGTTTTTGTGGTCAAATACATTGCTAGCCTGGGTGATGGATCTCTACGCAGTCTATGAAACTTCTTATGTTCACCGAAATACTCCGCCTGGAAACAAACACCTGAGACCTGTAAATATCTCAGGTCAAAACTGTATGCTAACCTAAAGATGAACTACAAAGTTTAGTGGTCTCATCGTGCGTCGAAGATGGAAATGACCACTGCCTTCAGTCTAATTGGTGTTTTCTTAACGAGGTGAGACATGGTCCAGCGAAGCTGTCCCGATCATATTGTACAATGGAAATTCAAACTGAAATTATAAAACTGTTGCGTAAGACCACATGTAATTCAATTCCGTTGATTCCTTCACCACGTGTTTCCTTCCAGCTAGACTCTGGAATAGCTGACAGCCGAAAATAGTTCTGGTTATTTCGAGCGGTGTTGTAAAAGTGTGAAAAAACCATGATTAGAGAAGCAAAAATATACTCGGCACACTGTAAATGTGATCTGAGATATTAAAAATATTAGTATATATCAATAATTTTGACAACGAAGAGAGTGTGTGGCAGACATTATAACACTTCAACGAACTATCTCTGTTACGAACTATTTAATTCAGTTTGTATGGACGACGCAGTTCACACTGGTTGAGAGATACGACAACAGACTGTTGTTCTGTTTTGTACAGGCTCATTGGTAGTTCGCTTTTCCCGGCTCCACGAGCTGCGATCGCTGCGTGTTGGTTTTGGTCTTTTGTTTGGTACCGGCTGTAGTATTGTAAGTGTTGAGGTTAGTCTTCGAAGTATGTGCGCGCTCACTGGTGTCTGCACTGTCACTGACGTGTTCCCATTTCCGCTTTATTGTTTCTTCCTAGCCGAGAGCGGGTTCCTATCGCCAAGAAACCGGCGCTCTGTAGTGTCTCCTCCCAACGCACCATCAACTCCTGGTAAATCTCTCACCACGCGTACGACACGTCAAACTGTCGTCAACCATCCCTTGCCCCAGACATCTTCCGTTTCGGCTAAAGTCACTCTACAATCACTTGGCCTTGCCTTGGACGATTTTGTTTGCATTGGTCCTGGGTGCACCACTGACTCCATTAATCCGGATGGTTCATCAGCTGCGGTGACCATCGGTAGCCGCATTGGTCGCCTTCGCTACTGTGGTCCGGTTGAATTCGCCTCTGGCATTTGGGTAGGCGTGGAGCTAGAGAAGCCCCTGGGGCGCAATAATGGATCTGTGTCTGGGGTAGGTTTTTGCGCACCGGTGTAACTTTCTGTATTATCACTGACGTTTCGACCTTAGATTATTTTCCCTCACTTTCACTCAGTCACTTCTGTATTACTCCCCCTTATCTCAGTTCTTCTGGTCTACTATATAATTATGCCATAAATTAGTGTCTAATCACTTTGTTTTATTGCCACTTGAAGTTTTCGGCAATTTGCCTCGAACGAAGCATTGTGACTGGAGATTTTAAGCAACGAAATGAGAAGACAAACATTGACAGATGCTAGCATTTTGTATTTTCTCGTCAGTACCAATACAATAACGGGAATTTTTTTATAAGTGTCATAGGGCACAGTCAGGCCAATCTAGTTCATGGTTGTGGTCATTGTTGTTGGCATTAGGACCACGGCAATCACTGGTTGACAACTAATGGACGACTGATCCTTCTCATGCATTTCCTGATCCCTCCCGTATTCTGCTTAGAGGGGATTAGGTAACCCACTACTCCAATTCAGAACGTCGTCATGAATACGCTCATTACTATGCATATATAGCAAGGACTGCGGTGCTTAGTTGTCCAATTCCTTGTGAAAAGTTCGCAGCATTTCGGGGACACGAACGCTGTTCGTGCTTATCCTTGTCCTCCACACTCCAGTCCCGCTTTACTTTTATCCTCGCCTGAAGCAATCAGGAGGGATGGTTACGGTGGAGAGATCATGTTAGTCAACCTGGTCGTATCAAACATTAAACGATACAAGCTAGTTGCAGAACGAGTGGTTTATGCTAGGTACGTGAACGTACCAAACCAGTTGTCTCACAGCATATAACTACAAACCTACGATTGGAGTCCTTCTCTTTTGCTGTAATGAGACTTTACCCCTTCTGTCGGAGGACGTTAAACGCTTTTGCGCCTTTGAATTGAATTGTCGTGCCTGCAACGATTGGGTGTGCCGCATGTGTCAGTCCCTCAGAAGTAGATGGTTAACTGGTGAAAGCCAAACAACCAGAAAATTGAGCACGACTCGTTTGCACCGCGTTTTCATGTATATTATCCGGCCAGTGCCATTACCAACCACGCGGCTTCACCATTAGTGTCCTTCTTTAATCCAGTTAAACAATGGTTCACAACCATCGTTCACTCCGTATAACTTGATACTACCGATAGCTGAGGCCGTTCGTTTCGTATTCCTCATCAGTCTCCCCGGTCTGCTTGTTACATCCGAAACCCTACTCACATCACAGGGTACACAGAGGAGTAATATGCGATGATATTCCGTTAACTACCTTAGCTCAACACGTGCTGCTGCTTGTTGCATTAGCTTGTGCACACGCAATTATTTGAGTAGCGCGCTGAGATGCATCAGTAACATTGCGTCAAAAAATCCTCCTACTTAGTAGTATCTTGAAAAGCACTATTAGAAGACGAAGTTCGGCAGATGCATGCATTTCATATCGTCTCATCAGTGCCGATAACGATAACCGGTAATTTTATATAACAGTTTATGGGTACCGGCATACATACAAACAAACGAGGGAAAGAAGGGGTGTCTTTCTTCTACAACCAGGGCAGCCTGAGGCTGACGGATAATTGTTTTCGAACACAAAGCACTGGCTTAATCCGATTAATGGCAATAGCCTCGGCAAACCGGAGGAGCCGGGAATTAGTATGACGAAGCAGGATTCTAAACGCCTTGTTGACCTCACTTCGGTGATCCGATGTCAATAAGTGCCTGCTGATCGGCGATGCTGGCGGACTGCGTACACATGTAGTCTGAGTTGGGCTTGCTTGCTGATTAAGTCCACACTGAACCCATTTTGGTACATGCTCCTTTATTCGGGAACTCAGTGTTCAATTGGTTCTGCCTATGTAACTATCCCCGCAGTTACATACGAGTTGATATACGCAGTGGGAGTTGGCGCCAATAGGCTGCGTTTCCTTTAGTGGAGACAACTTATTAGAGTTCGGTCGATGGTTACAACTTTGGCAGCACAGAAAGTGCTCTTTGTGGCGGAAATCAGACATCTTCTGGTTCTCAGGGAAGCAATGTCACCCTTAAAAGGCAGCTCCAAAAATATCTTTTACTTAGGCACAATAGGTACAGCAACTTTCATTTCACGAATTTCGCTGTGCTTCCGGATAAATTTTCGAGGGTAGCCAATAGCAGTTAACGTGTTGGTAATTAACTCTAGTTCATCGGCTGGACACTCGCTCTAACATATTCGTCTGGTGCGACTACACAAGGTCCTCACAGGCGTTAGTGTGTGCCGCATTGGCATAAAGCTGCTAAAATGCAGAAACCTCCCGACCACGTTGTTTTTCGATAGACAGACCGTTTTACTAGTCCGTCTTCCCTGCGGCTGATAAGAACATCCAAATATGGAAGACGGTTCTGTTGTCCGACTTCACAGGAAACGCTCAAATTGGCATGCGAAAAGTTAAAACGCGCCACTAGCTGTGCGATCTGCATTTCTGTTGAACTGAACACCAAGATATCGTCCACGTAACGTTTGTAATAGGGTAACTGCGCTATTTCTTCGGATAGGCTTCGTTCTATCATCAGCATAAAGAAATCCGCTAGTATGGAGCCCAGTGGGCTGCCCATGGCTACCCCATCAATTTGGCGATACGATATGTTTCGGAAGTGGAAATCAACATTCTCTGTGCATAGAAGTAATGATTCTCTTAAGAATTCAACTGGAATCGGCAACGAACATTCGGAACTTTCTGCTAATTCGCAGATGTAGTTAACGCTCTGGTGTAGCGGCACGTTTGTAAACAAAGATTCCACAACTAAGGAACACATCACCTTGTCGGACAGGTTCATTTTATCGAGGTCTTCGACAAGCTCGAAGGAATCTTTGAGGCCCTACACATTAAACTGAGCTTTTAGCGGAGAAAGCACATTAATCAACCAGCGACCTTATTTATGTTGGGGTGCGTTCGTCATCGAGAGGATCGGTCTGAGCGGCACTCCGTTCTTGTGCGTTTTTGGAAGCCCATATAGCTGTGGCGTAGTTGATCCACACGGCTTTAAACTGTTATAAGTAGTGCTGTCGATCACGTGATATTGATGAAGCGTTTCTAAGTGGCGAATGATTCGGGATTCGAATGCAGTCACATCCCCTACCTTCTCCAGTCGTTTTAATTTGTTAGTGTCACTGAGTATGATGCTCATCTTCTCGATGTATCCAACTTTGTTCATGACTACAACTCCTGAACCCTTATCCGGCTTCATTACAACGACATCCTTATCGCGTAATTCGCATAACGGTCGTAGGTCTGTTCGTAAGCGCGCACTTCTCAAACTGAGCCTCAATAAACAACCCTATCAATCGTCTAGGAGGCAATCTGTAATCTAGCCTGTAAGACAATGCTTCTAACTAGTGCATCAAGGTTCACATTTGACAGATTCACCACATACTTACTGGGGTCCCGAGTACATGGCTCCTCATCTTGGTTGTTCATCAATGCTTTTTCAAGCCGTGCTAGTTCCTTCATTTTGGTACGATCGACTTTGACTTTACAAAATTGGGTGTATATAATCCGACAGCAGGCTGACAGGTTTGCGACTACGGGAAACAGGCGTGCATGGATTTCCAGTAGGCCATCAAGTCTGGCTTGCGCGGTCTCCAACTGGGCAGATGCGACGCGTCTTAGTAGTAATTGAAAATTTACCCTCAACTCCTCCAATTGCTGCGCTTACCTACTTGATGTCTAATGATGATCTCTTGCTGCCAGCCACTGTCCTCCACAACGATAATAACCTACATGTCAGTGGAGGGTAGCTCACGCTACATCTCAGCTAACTTGCACTTTATGATGGTCAGCCGCTGTCCCACATGACCCAGTGACATTAGCTACTGGTTAGTCTGCGCAAGCTTCTAGCATTTCCCTGCATTAGGACCGAGGTAATGCGCATCACTGACGAGCTCCAGTAGGGCGAAACGATGGTTTGGTGTTTTTCGGATTGGCAGTTTCACTATCTGGCTTGTGACTTGCCTTACGACTCAGTAAAACTTCATCAAAAGTCCTCCTGCTCATCAGCTTAAGCATAGTTAGCTGCTTCGGTCATACCAACTGATCTCACTTGTGTTTACCTCGAAGTACATTGCGGTCCAAAATGAGGTCCTATATCGCACTGCGTGCACACGTCGGGCTCCCTTATAGCTCAATAATGAGAGCCTTATTCATGTGCCATATATGCTGAGCTATCAGCCGGAAGTGAGCCCGCTTATCACTTGACCGGGTGCTCTTGACCCGCATTACTTTCCGTATTCAAATTCGCGCGACCATCTCTACGTTTTTTTTCAATACACCACTTGTTACTGTTTCTTTTGATCATCATGATAATGATGACGGCGATTTTAACCATACTAATGATGGATTCTAATTTTCTCCGCGAATCGAACCGTTTCCACTTGAAAACATGCCATCACTATTCTCACACAGATCTATTCTTACTTCTTACTTTCTTCTGCTATAAGCTTTTGCACTTTCATGAAATAAATGCTTTTTCGGTCTACTGTTACTTGCTTTATGTTCCAAGTCGAATTGTTTTACATCATGATTTCTGCCGACAATTCCGTTATCACGCCTTATTGTTTCCACCCAGTGCCCACACGTTACGAGTCTTGTTATGGGTTACTTCGTCTTCCAGAGCCTCTGCTAAATCTTCTATCTACCGCTTTTCGTATAATCTCGGTTTGGTGTCCCCGTAATCGTTTTTCGCGTTTCTTTAAGCGCGTTGAGTCCAACGATAACAACAACATCAACATTGGTAAGATTAATCCTGTGTGCTCGGCTTATGCAAATGGCTTGTTCAGTGTTAATGTTTGTTAGCCAATTGCTTATCTGATTTGTACAAGGCACTAGAGTGTCTGTGGGTACAATTTCTAGATGTTAAAACTACGAAGGATTTTTCTTGTGTTGGCCTAGCTCTGTAACAGCACCTTGAAGGTGTGACTTACTTGTCAAAGTGTGTAGTGTTATGTTTTAAGCTCTTAGGCAGAGCTTACTGAGTAATGTTTGACTTCCGGTCACTAGATACGACCTTATGGTGTTGATATTGGCGACCGATCTCTTCCACTGCGCACTGATCATAGCACTTATGTTACCCAAGCACCTCTTTCCAACACAAGTTTTCGCGTCGCCTTGCCTAGCAGCCATCGAACAACGGTCCGTCTCACTACAGCTTTACATAGCGCTCTTCTGTCCGCTTAGGCAAGCACAAGGCGGCGCTGGTAATCTTGGTTCGTAACCTGTTTACATCGTTAAGAATAATTTGCACTTGTCCTCTTACACTTGCCTACTGGTTACAAAGAAAGCTCTAGTTTTGTTTGCTATAAGCACAACTTTTATCCTCTGCACCTCCGACTACAGTTCTTGCTACTTCTTGAATGTGTGTGCTTCTGGCACCATCCCTACTCGCGAAAGACTGTCTTCGGCTGCGTGGTAGCGAAGCGTCGTCATCGTTAGCACCGATGTGCTAACGGTGCCCTTTTTGTTGTGTTCACCCAATTTCGATTGATGTGAAACTCGTGGAAAAGTGATGTCTCAGTCAGTGCTGTTGGTCCGTCTCGGATTTCACTCGACCCGCTCCACACTTGACTCCAGAACTCACTGGACATAACTCGCAACCTGCACTAGTGGCCAGCTTGCTACCATCGCATGGTTAGGCCGATTGTGATGAGCTGCAGTAGAAGTGGCGAATAGTCACCCTATCTTTACTGGATAATCGGCTGTTTGTGACCATGTTGCTGGTAAATTATCGGTTTCTTCTTTCCGCATATTTGCTTTGTACACCTCATTGTTATGATAGCTGGAGTTGAATTGTAGCGAATCATATATTCAAAGTACTGGTGTGCTGTGCTGCACTCAGGAATTGTCTGTTGAGAAGCTGGATGCCCAAGAAATATACGAACATTCTTCAAACCATTTACTTTCGGGCGGAGTGCTGGTGTACGGTGGACTTTTGTCCCCCTTTAGTGTCACCATTGGTGTAAAATAGGGTTGCCTCGCATCACAGTTCTTGTTCAACTTCGCTATAGATGACAGATAGTCTTCTGGAAAACTGTGGGCCTAGCGGCGTCTAGTTACTCTCGGGTAGTCAGCTTCGGGGGGGGGGGGGGCATTGCCGTAATCTGTGATTCCTTGCCGACTGCACTGGACATATTGTGCAGATTGGAGGTATCTCACAGTCCAGAGTGACCGTCACCCCTATGCAGTCTGAACTTTTCCTGCTTAAAAGCTGTTCCCACCCCCACCTTTTCCGGTTCCTCTTTGGAAATAATTGACAAGTTTGTTTGCCTTAGGAAATGCGTTAGCGTTATGGTGGGCGGATGAGATCATTTCTCGCATCTTCAAATCTAAAGTAGGCTTTGCTAACCTCCGATATCTCTAGTATCTGAGTGATCTTAGTCTTTCACTCAGGGGTCAGGTCTACAACGCTACAGTACAAACAGTGCTGCATTCTGGGTGTGACCAGTGTCCAGAGACTGTTTTTTTTTCTTACTGCTGCCTCCGGAGCATCGCTGGTTTACGTTGGCAGCATCGCATTAGTCATGACGAGGTTCGACGTCGAAGGGTCAAGTCAGATAAACTCAGCTGAGCTGCACCATTTCCTAGCGGTGGCTGTATTACGTTCTCCCTATACCTGCTCAACGTTTGCCTAACCGCGCTTTCTTCGCATTCGCCAGTATTGATTAGAAACGACGGAATGGTGGTCACCACACACACACACAGCATTTGGCCGCAGTGAGACATCCCAGACTCCCTGGTTAGAGGCCCAACGACACTGAGCACATCTGGTCGGAATCACTATCATATAACTCAGAACCGTGCACAGTGGCCAATGTGCTGTAATGCTTTCCTCCTTTGAGTGCATTTTCTTTCTTTTTGTTGCTTTTGTATTATTATCTTGGTATTAGGTTGCTACAATTAGCTTGCTAATAAAGTTATTGCGGTTTTAAATCTTAAACTTTGAATATACATTTCTTGGCTCAAACGTTACATTTTTATTCGAAATAAAAACCATTTGAATTGACGCACTTTTGTCAGTGGGAACCAAGTCTATTTATCTCGGATGAATAAAATTCCGGAGTTCTGGTGGTGATGAAATCGTTGTAGGCAGTTTCAACATCTCCCTGGGTTTTAAAACTTTTCTCTCGCAGGAAGTTATCCAGGTGCTTGAAAAAGTGGTAATCGGTAGGTGAGAGGTCAGGAGAGTATGGTGGATGAGGCAGTTTCGTAGCACATCTCGTGCAGTTTCTGCAAGGTTGTTTGTGCGAGGTGCGACTGGGTGTTATCATGGAGAGGCATGGGCCTCTTTTTTGACCTGTGCCAGGTACCAGTGTTGAGGTTTTCGGTGCATTTCAACAAATTACTGATAACACTTCTTCGCTATAATGATTTCCCTGGATTCAAAAAAGCTTTGATGGATCAGGGCAGCCGCAGATCACCAAATAGACACCATAACATTTTTGGGTGCAATTCTGGGTTTGGGAGATGTTGTGGAGCTTAATCGTGGTTCAACTATTTAGAAGTTCGTCGTCGATTGTCGTAAATGACCTACTCTTCATCGCAAATCGTAATCCGGTGGAGAAACTGGTCGTGTTTATTGCGTAGCAGGAAGCATACGACACCTCAAAATGACGATTTTTTCGATTTTATTTCTCTTCATACAGCACCCGCTTATTAAGCTTTTCGACATTTTAATCTATCGTATATGTTTTAAAACTGTGACATGCGATACTGCTAGGTCAGCAGCAAGCTCTCGGATAGTTTTATGCGCTTTACATAAGGCCCTTACTTTATCGCTGTTCACCTCCAATGGCTGTCCACTACGCTCTTCATCTTCAGGCATCTCGTAACCCTTACAAAATATTTGAAACCACCATTGTGTAGTAAAGTTATTCGTTCTTCTAGCACCAAATGCACTGTTGATGTCATGGGCTGCTTTCGCTGCATTTCGACCAAGTTTACATTGGTACAGGAAAATTGTGCGAATTTGTCTTCTATCCATGTTGCACTAAATGTTCTGTAAAGATGCAACAACGTATTTATGAGATAAACTATTACTACGGCTGGGTAGAGCGATAAACATGCTTCAAAATGATATACAAGGTCAAAGCAACTTATTAAAAATCATTTGAAAGCAAGCTGTTAAAATAAAAGTTTCAATAAAACATGATAACTTTATTACCAACCTGTTGGGTAAAACCACGAGGTGGCCAATCGATTACGCGGCATAGTAAGTAGCAAGACACCGACCGAGAGACTTTCAGACCGGTTGGTGATGTCTTCGTGGATGGGGGCCTCGAGATGGATCGCATTAGTGGTGGTGATGGTGGTGGTACTTGTCTGATATGTTCCGGGGACTGAGTCGCAATCCTGCGTTCCGTTTCTTACATCTAGCTATTACTACTCCGCCCCTGTTGATTTTACCTCATTTTTCCTGCTCTCAATTCACCTTCGCTAGTTTTTATTATGATTATTATTATTATCCTGGTGATGCGAGCCGTAGCAACTATATCCATCACGCCTAAATGGCTTGCTCGTCGTCATTTAACTGCGCTGAACTATTTATGCTCCATGTAACGTGCCTTAACCAAAGACTATGGACACTGTTGCGTTTCGCTCTCTCTCTTACTACCTGATAATGATTCACCCTGAATCGCCAACCTTCTTTTGTTTATTTTCCAAATAGTTTCTTTCCATTTTTATTCATTCATTCTCTTAACTTTCGATTCCCGTCTCTAACTAGAAGATGGTAGCCCGTTCCCTCATGATAATCAACAAAACTCTCATCACATCCGCTTTCCTAGTGTTTACCTTCTTGACGCTACGACCCAACCACCTCCCATTATCCCAATGACAGGTGCAATATTTCAATTGTGCGCCTTCTCACGGCTTATTCGCTCCAATTGGTAGAGTGTACAAAGCAGTGAACGAAGGTTCCTCACAGATGTGGCACCCAGTTCATCAGAGCAAGAGACCTCCTTCGGCGCCCAGATCAAGACCACCAACTCCAAAGCAGGAGCATCCAGGGGTCACGGCGACCTCTGGCACCGGAGATACAAGCCCCCGTTGTTTTGTTCCTAATTCAAGGTCCAGTTACTCTCTATCTAGTTGTCCAGATTCAAGCCAACCGCGCGTCACATCCCCGACTAATCATCCGATTGATGTTTCTCACGTTACAGCCAAGGTTGACACAGGTAAACAACCCGTCCACTGTGCACCATCAACTTTTCTGTCCTTGATGTGCTTTCTCCTACCTTCCGTTGTCATTCCTATCCTTCCGCTGCAGGACTTCGAACCCATTCTGCGGACAAGAACGGCGCTCCCCAGTTGGAGATCGGAAACCGCGTTTTGGTCGCAGGCCAACGAAAAGGAATCCTCCGTTTTATTGGCCCCACGCAATTCGCACCGGGCACTTGGTACGGAGTGGAACTAGATCAACCACTGGGCAAAAACAACGGATCGGTTTCAGGGGTTCGGTACTTCCAGTGCCCCATTGGCCATGGTATCTTCGCCTCTCGCGAACGAATTCAACGGCTACCTGATCGTCCTAGCAAGTCTCGTGACAGCCCAAGCGCTTTGCTCAAACATCATTCTTCTATGTCGGAATCTTTTCATGGTGGTGAGCCCGACCGCCGTATCACAACACACGGTCCGAGTCATCGAATGGCCTGGTCGACAACGACGTCACCTATGATCGGCAGAGCTGTGGTTGGTCGACCCACATTGCCTGCCGAACTACTGAAAGTCTTGCAAAACGCAGTCACGCGTAGCGAACAGGTTCATCGTGCGTCACAGGAGCCTGCCTTTTATATCACAGAAGGAATGCAAGTTTTGTGCGCGGGTGAAATAGGTAAATATCCGGGTGTCGCGGCCGACGCCTTATGAGTGAATTTCCCTGTTCGCATGCGTACGTAGGCCGCTGGGGCCATGGAGCTTAACTAGTTCGGTAGATCCCTCCTAAACATCCGTGTGCCGCTATCTACATAACCTTGTGATGCACCATTCTTTTCAATCCCACATTCCTCTATGGAGACTCATGCATATAATCCCTGCGTCATATCTTAGCCTTGAGGTTGATTTTGGCTTCAAAATGTAGACGTTTTTGTTTTTGCTTAGACTCTACTGTTTCTCGTGTTCGTTCTTCTCTTTCCTGCACTCACATCTGCGTTGCTCGTCTTGATTTGGTTTTCTGATCTGTTCCCATTGTTTTGTACTTTCCCAGGAACTGTTCGATATATCGGACCAATCACGTTTGCCGACGGTATTTGGTTGGGTGTTGAGCTGCGCAAACCACGAGGACGTCATGACGGAAGTGTTGCCGGCAAGCGATACTTCCACTGTCGCCCCGGTCATGGTCTCCTTGTTCGGCCCTCTCGTGTATCTTGTCGCGGCATTAATGCTGTTAACTTGTTGCCTCCTGCACTGGCGGCTATGGAACAAGAGTTGATGGCCAAGCGCCAGACCCCAACAGAGAAGCGGTCACAATCAGACGTAGCCTCCAGCGATGTGTCGTCCGTCGTTGCCTCTTCGTCTTCAAGTAGGCGAAGCAGCTACAAACATTCTCCTACGTGATTGATGCGCGGAATACTTGCCACCCGTTAATGTGCAATGTGGACAGTGTTTCTTCATCTTACTTTGCAATAGTTACACTTGACTAGTGCTAATCTGATCACTATTCATCTGCGCGCACAGTTTGACTTCTTTCCATATTTCATTTTTGTTTTTTTTCGCCTACTTATGTATTGCATTTTTGATGAGCGTTGTACATTTCTTGCTGTTGTGTCGTAGGTCTGTTCGCACCTGTTCTTCTTACGCCCCATTGATTGTCAACTTTTTGCGAATCAACTTTGTTACTGTCATCTCATTCGTGATTGATGCTGATGGTGCAATTGATTTTGTTTTCTTATGACCCCTCATATCAAGGTCAATATGACGTGATTTACACTGATTCATCGGTTTTGTTTTATCTTTTATTGGGTTTGTCGCAGTAGTCGGTGGGTATGCGCTCCCCTGCGAAGTGTCCCATTGGAAGATTCCGCCCTAAGTCTCACTCCTTCGTATGCTCGTCCTCGCTCGTTGGCCTTCTATGATAACCACCCACCATGCGAGTATAATTCACGCATTCAAAGGAATGAATAGTCCCGGGACGTCACTCACTTCCTGTCAATGTGACCACCATGATCTTCCAATGTTTGGTAGCACGTGCGGTACGTGCATTTTCCTTTTTCACTGGGGCATCTAAATTCAACACCCTTATTTTGATGTGCTCAGTTTTTCTTTATTTTAGCTGCTCGAATTTCAACTTACAATGATTTGTCTTACTTATCTCACATAAATAAGTGAACAAATAGACTACTAAATTGTTTATTCTAGGCAGTTCAAGGCACATCTGCATAGGCATGATCCTGTTGAATAATTGCAGTCGCGACATGGAGTCATGGCACAGAAATTCTATCGCAACTTCCAATTATCAAGTAAATTTGTTCCATATCATTGGGATCATTTCAAAACACAAAAACTCCCTACAACAATCGGTTTACAAATATCTGCTTAGTAAGGAGTACGACATTTATCTTTTTTCAACGCATCTGATCATCCAACAGCGACACGTGTCCACCTTTATCAGAACAAAACATTTTGTTCCACTTCATTATGCTACGTGTGTCCTCCCAACTGACGGTATTTGAACAGCTTTTTATTATTCTGATCAGTTTATAATCGTTGTCGGGTACATGATTACACCGCCATGATCATGTCTATGCCGGCGTGCCTTGGTTAGAATGCTGTCTTTTCTTCTTCTGATCTGGCTTGTTTGTGGCGTTAATTAACTCTGGAGTACCTGTGACTTTTCTCTCTATATTACTTCCCCCTTGGCTGCCTTAGATTCTTCGGAAACCTGTGCCCTAAGCGCCACGACAGATGGAGCTTGTCAGGGTTGCCATATCTACATTTTCACCAACTTTGAATTCAAAATGATCATGAGCGACTCCATTCCGCATCCTTCCACTACTTAGATTGAGGCTCCTTTTTTCAACTGACGGTCAAATAAAGAACACTCAGACGACCTCATTCCCTTTGAATCGGATCAATCTACCATACAAACGCTACTGGATAGGCTAACGCGCAGCGATGCACACGCACTTTGGAATGCACTTTACACCGTAACATTTCAAACACCGATACACGATTGGGTGGAGTCACCAGCGGTTCTCGTCACGATCGAACAGCCGCTGGAAATCATAACTCGGTTTACTATTCGGATAGTTATAATTCACTTCTAGAGTTTGCGTCGCGAAGCAGATTACCACTCGTATTTTCTTGGATTCGTCTGCCTTTTCTACGTTTCACTCATTTTTGCGTTACAAAGGTATTGGTTGGGAAAAGTGGGCACGTTGCGGTATTGCTAGCGTTGCTCACTGTTTGTGAGAGCACCGACTGATTAACGCTGAAGTCCTTCGTCTTGCGTTTATTAATGCTGTGCTCCATTATGATGCCTGTTGATCTCGAATGGCATCCCTGCTCTACAAGCCTGCGAGTCGGCTGCATCTACTTGTGTTCTTTACCTATACTTGTTTTGGGCATCTCATGGTTCTAAAAAACGTCGCACCGGTTACCTTTTCCTGTCTTCCAAGTTCGCCAGTCATGTTGCTTTGGAACACTTACGCGATGCGTTATCGGCGACAACGTTTCCACCTGGCTTTTCTCGGTGCCAACTTTTTTCAGTTAGCAATTCTCTCTCTTTTACCACAGACACTGTTACTGGTACTAATTACATAACTCTGATTGTCCCGTTCCTTCCCTCGCCAAATGACAACTACATAGACCTCCTGATAACCAGGAAACCCGTGGTATAAATACTAGCCTTTAAAAGCCATCATCATCTTCGTCTTCACCCGTCTTGTTTGAGCAGTGAGAGCTTCGCGGAAGGCCATTGTATTCTCTATCTCTCGCGGTCGCGAGTATTAGTGCGTTGGCTGTGTCAGTCTCGGCGTAATGAGGAAGAACCGTTAGCCGACTAAGTTACTTGGGACACGTCTATCCGAATTCGATCAGCCACTTGTCCACTCGGAGAACAGTCCACAAGAGTCGCATCGTTGTTCCGAATAAGGGTGCTCTATAAAAGCGACGGCATTACAACAATATTGCATTCCTTTGAGCAAAATCCAAAGGTGGCCAGTCAATGACACGTCAGATAAGTAGGACAGTATTTCCCCCCACACAAACGGCTGTCAGCTTGGCGTTTATTGTTCTCTGGATGGGATCCTCGGGGTCGGCCGCATGAGTGGTTATGTATTCTATCGAGCACGGTGTGGTCACTAAGCCAATGACACCATCCAATTCCCTCACATTTTTCTGGACATTGGTTGCCGCGTCTGGCTGCGTTACCTTGCGCCCACTTTTCTCTAAGTATCCTTGTTTCACCTTATTGCATGGATCGTGGTCTTAAAGGGATTTGCACCTGAAGTTCGCTGTCACGACCTAAACTAATGACGCCTTCGCTGCCAGTTTCTCTCACATGGGCATTCCACTCCCGTTCTCACGGTTGTTTGAGCTCGTAAGGCGGACTAACCGGTTTGCGATTCGCATCGACTATCTCTTAGACCAATCGACTCTGTGACTTGTACCTATAATTACTCGTGGGAGTTTGTTCGTTGCTTTGTTGATTTTTACTTGACTTGCAACATCCTATCACGTCTCTTCGCATCGTACTTAGCAATTGTGATATAATTTGCGAGGTCATTTTGTAGCAGTCTTCGCGCGGCAACACCCAACATCCGACACTTCAACTACGGTCCTAATGATCGAAATGTCCAAAGTTCGCTCCAGTGTGAATCGCGGTCTACATTGAGATTACGCGCCGCAACCATTTCCCACAACAAATGCTTCAAAATGGCCGCTCCAGTCAGTCATTTACTGTTGTGCTAATCTTCAAAGTTGGCATCGGTTGGTTCATCCCGACTGCCTGGCTAAGGTCCCAAGGAGGATGAATACGTTTGGTTGGACACACTTGCTGATGTGGCCAAGAGCTGGCTCCAATGACCTTTGTGTCGTGCATTTCTTTGTCCATCCCATTTACCTTTCGATTCCCACTCCAATTCCGATCTCATACGAACTGCACAATATAATATTTGACATTATATTCCTTGCTTTTCTAATTCTTTATAGTGTAAATTTTCAGTATCTTATCTTTGTATTGCGCCGGCTCGTAAACTAAAGCTTGTCTTGGAATCTCACGTCGCCTGCGTAGGAGCAGGGTAACCCTCACAGTATCCTTAGCCCAAGTGCGACCGGTGGTATTTGCGCGGCAGCAAAGCGCCGATATTGCGGATCAGCGTACTGCTGACGCTTCTTCTTCAGTTACATGAGCGGGCCGAGTTCTTTTGTGAATTTCAGCGTGAGCTGCTGGGTACTTTCGCAAGACATAAGCAGACATGGGCTCGATCCACATCAGCGGACCGAGGGAATGCGCACTACTGACGAGTCTCAATAGGGTGAATCGATCCTCCTGTGCTTTTCCGGATAAATAGGTCACCTTTTCAACTTGTAACCTAATTGAGATGAAACAACTAGAATCATACCTATCTGTCTACTCATTAGTAGTCAAATGCTTGTTCAGTATGTAAGTAGGTCTTATTAAGCACTAAATTTCGTCTAATAACACCCTAATATCAAGGATGTTTCCGACTGCCCAAGAACGAGCAGTGATAAACAGCTGTAACATTTCTCTGGTGTGCTTTCCTGTAGATGTCTGGCGACTATTTTTGAACCCCTGCGGAGACTTTTGGATGCGATCTTGTCTATGGCCATTCACGGACCGTGATTACATCTGTTCTAACTGTGATGATTTTCGTTCTTCACCATCAAACTTTTGTCTAGGCAAGTGTTTTGCTTAGTGCTTTGGTTTTAGCATGCTTCCCCGGTTAGACCGTAGGAGAGAGTGTTATTCACAGCATGTCTTTGTATTGTTGATGCCTTATCCTTACGAACGGTGCATATCGTCTTTTTTGTGTAGTTTCACTTTGACCGCATCAATGATTAACATCCTCACCCAGCATAGCACTGCCAGTAGGTCAGTAACACGTTTGCGTTCGACTTCTTGCTTCCAACCTTTGACTCAACACATGACCAGTATGCCTGCTTCCTGTCGCTTCTCCGTTGGGCTTTGGCAAGTATACTTGTTTGATTTTCCTTCCCTCAAAATGCTAACAGCTCTGTTATCCTAGTCAATGTCGTGATTCACAGCAGCTGAAACAAACCCATTTGGATATTCGGATCCTGGCGTGTTCACCGAACTGAGCATGCGTGGGCTATAGAATAGGAAAAGTAGTTTTGGCTTTATCAAGTTTGTTGCGCGTTTTCTCTGCTCCCTAGAAGACTGGAGACCGGGACCGTTCGTAAATGTCAATGAGTAAAACCATTGAACTTTCGGGGACAAGAACGGTCAACCTGGCCATACAGTTACCAGCGAGAAGGGAGCTGCGCGAAAAATGATATCTCGTCCTCACGCGTGGTCCAGTGCTCTAGAGCCCTGATTCGCTACAGAAACGTCATGGGTTACAGTCGCGTTCGCAACAGGTAAAGTGCTCACTACTGGTAACTTTCAGAAAAGCAGGATGGCCGTTTTCCGTTTCCTTGGCGTGTAGTGGCCGTATAACTGGTTAATTTCATCTAGATTTCCACATGGATCTCTTTAATCAAATATTCTGAAATGCAAGCTAAGTGCCTATACGGTTCAGTGTAGTGTTAACCTGGAGCCCTTACCCCTGACACCATGCGGTTGCATTATCTATGGTCTCCTACCCAGACCGCATTTGATATCACAATTTTCCTCTCACACACATAAGCTCACACTCACTCGATCCAGCTTAACCAGCGCTATGTAGTGCACTCCACCTTTCGGATCTAGCAAATGCGGAGCACGTTTCACCTCCACACCGCAATTTTCGCACCC